ACTTTGACTACGACCTTGTCTAAATATGATCAGAGTCGGTGAACTCAAAAGGCTTCCATAGACTTGGCAACTCATGACAAGAGCCTAGGGTGATTACTGATGCCATAAACAAGAGTGTCAATTTGTTAAGTCAACAACAGGAGTCACTGTGCACTTACTCCTCATGTAGGATCTCTGTCCTTAATGTGCTGTACAGTGTGATTTAATGCTATAACTAGTACTCAAACAGTATTTTTCACTTTGTGTTTCTATGTGGGTGCAAACTGATGAAATCTTTACTTAATATATGCTAAACTGATCTTCTGTATATAAAGATACTTGAAAATGAATCTTGATGTGAATGGAAGGGGAGAGAGAAAGGGAAAGGGGAGGGTTGCGGGTGGGAGGGAAGTTATGGGGGGGGGGAAGCCATTGTAATCCAAAAGCTGTACTTTGGAAATTTATATTCATTAAATAAAAGTTTAAAAAATGATGCAACAGACAGCTTTCTTTGGTTGTTTTTCTAAAAAAAAAAAAAAAAAAGAAACACACTGGCTCAGTTTTGATGAGAAGTTTTGACACCTCCCCTAGAACTTCAACACTCTGTAAAGGAATGTTTTTACCCTATTTAGTGGTTTTCTCTGGTAGTCCTTTATTGTGGTGAATATGTTGACACTGAAAATTTCTTCATTTCTCTATTTTAGACATTAACTCTTATCTTTCTAGTATTGTGGATAAGCGTTCCATGCTCTTATACTCTCTACACCTTCCAACCCCATGTTTTTTAATGTAGTTTTGTCATGTATATGGTTAAAAACAACCTCTAGGATGAGTCATGGTTAAAAGAACCACTATGAAGATTTAAGTTTTGACTCTATGCAGTAGACCATTTTTCAAACATCCCAACAAGCCTGATGCCATTTCACACTTCTGAGTACCCATCCACACCTCCCTCTTCCTGAAGACCACCCCACTCCAAAGGTTTACACATTCTGTGCCAGTGTGAACTGTTTGCACACAAACCTACTACACAACTGCCATCCTGGGACTTGCTTGTGTCCCACTCCTGATTCCTGAGTCTCTTTTTCTTCCTTCTCAAGGTTCTTCCCTTATTTGCCAATAGAACATCCTGTAGTGACTTAATGGTTTCTCAGAAAGGAGAGCATGTAGTCCATCTTTGAGCTTGTCAACTGAGATATCAGAGTCCAGTTGGAGAACCAAATTTAAGGTTTATTGCACTAGTAAAACTGAGGATTTAAACTTGGAGGTAATATGAATTGGTGACTTTGCAGGCTTCTGCTGGGTTATAATTTTCTTACAGGGTGGGCATATGTATTGAGACAGATTTATTTGTAGTTGTCAATCACATTAAAAATCAAGAGAAGTATACTTGTTAAGTACTGTCATCTTGGTTATTGATTAAGGAGCTACATTACATTCCTGCCCTTGTATATTATCTAAATACAGGGAGACACAAACAATGAAGTAGGTAATCATTCAGACAATGGTGTCATTGATCATTTTCCCTTTAATAGCCCTCAGACATAAAGCTTATTCCATCTTGAGTACAGCAAATGTTTCCTTGAAAAGTCATATTATGTGGGAAATTGACTGCATGATGCTTTCATAGTATGGATGGTATCACAGCTAACTCAAGCCACTATAGTCACCATTCCACTCTCAAGTTCACAAACTTTAACCAAAACCTCTGCCATGAGAGAGGGATAATTTGCTCTCTGTTATATCTCTGTCACTATTATATCTCAGTGACATTCTGGCTAGTCCACCTAAATGCTAAAATGTTTTCTTTCATTCCCAAAATAATAGCATTTGTAACTGTCTGTTATCCAGATATTTGCCCCTGTGAGTTTCCAAATTGTCTAGTTTCTACTGTCAGTTTTGCGGTGGCTCAATAGGCTAATCCTCCATCTGTGGTGCCAGCACACCGGGTTCTAGTCCTGGTCAGGGTGCTGGATTCTGTCCTGGTTGCTCCTCTTCCAGTCCAGCTCTCTGCTGTGGCCGGGGAGTGCAGTGGAGGATGATCCAAGTGCTTGGGCCCTGCACCCGCATGGGAGACCAGGAGAGGTACCTGGCTCCTGGCTTCGGATCAGTGCAGTGCTCTGGCCGCAGCAGCCTTTGGGGGGTGAACCAATGGAAAAGGAAGACCTTTCTCTCTGTCTCTCTCTCTCACTGTCCACTCTGACAGTAAAAAAAAAAAAAAAAAGCTTCAGTTTCTGCCAGAGTGTTGCATGGAGCTGTAGTAAGCTCAATATATTCTTTGGCCACTTGATCCCCTTGAAACTCTACTTTCAGGCTTTTTATCTCAGCTCTTGATAATGAATTTCAGAGTCACCTCTCTGCTGGCTTCTCTGTCCCTTCTCTTGGAATCAACTAGGGGACAGCATACCAATGTATCAATAACTTCCCTCCTATAACCAGTTGAAGTAGACTTAATCTCGGCACAACAGTTTAGTAGTACTCCGAAGCAGAAATCTCTCTAACTCCCTAAAATTTCCAGTCTCCTGGGTATCAGGTTTTTTTTTTTTTTTCCATTTCCTCCAAAGTAGTGGGGACTAAAATAAATCTTCCCTATACTTGATTCAGTTGACAGGGCCTCTAATGCCAACTCACTCCTGAGCACCAATTCCCATCATTCCCTCTCTCCTGTCTGAAGTCTTTGAATGACTCTGTCTGCCCCAATCTCTTCCCATTAGTTAGTCCTCTTAGTTCTACCTCACACCTTTGAACTAAACAGAATTCATGGCCCATTTCTCTTTATAAGATGTCTAACCCCATCTCTGAAATCTCTACTTCTGTCTCCATTTTCCCCAAGATTCTACCAATTCTTCTCTGTCATTGACTGGGTCTAGGTGGTAGAATGCTTTAAACTTATTTCTAAAAATAACAGTAAGCTTAATTGTCCTTTAAGAAATACCTGAGAAATAAAACACAAAGTCTTTCATGTTAGGCCATATAAACCTTCAGGGAACTTTATTTAGAATATAGGCAAAGTAAAGAGTTATTCACAAGATACGGTTTTTTGAGGTCCCAGAAAAAGAGGCTTATCCAAAGAAATGGTAACTACTCAGTATCTAAGATTCCCCAGATCCCAAACAGCCCTTATTCAGGCAGTAGTTGCCAAACTTGGTTCAAGTTTTCAAATTTCTGGGGAGGCAATGTCAGTGTTCAGCTCCATGCTCTGAGTTTCAGACTTAATGAGTCGTGATGGGACTTGGGCATCAGTAATTCTAGAAAGACTCCTAGGTGATTCTAATGCACGGCCAGGGCTGTGAATCACTGTGCTATAGGATAAGAGCGAGGCTTACAATGTAAATCTCTCTTGTAGAGAAACACACTGCCAGAGATGCTGTAGTTCAAGTGATTGATGTGTCTTCTGACTGAGGACAGTGATACAGGCAGAGGAACACAAAACAGAAAGTATCCTCAAGAATGATCTTCACCAAGGAGGGAGGAAAGAGGAAAGTGTCATTCCTAGAATTGTATCTATGAACTTCATTGAATCCATTCTGTTTGTATTAATATCACATTAATACAAAATATGTTAATGTATTAATACAAAAATGTATTAATATCACATTAAGATGAGAATTATGCTGTATTGTGCATGTGCTGTGACCTAGAGAATCTAATATATTAATAAATTCCTTTAAAAAGTATTACTCAGAAAAAAATGGACACATTTTTAACCAGCACAAGGTGTGTACCTCTGATGCTAGCTTTTAGGGCTTCAGTAATTGGTTAAGGAGAAAGAGAGTGAGCTGGGACTGTGATAGAGGTAAACATGGCCTTATGAGGGAACTTCAGAAGTTCTTGAAAAATGAAATTAAAATAAATTTATTTTGGAGCAACAATTTTTGAAATCTGAACATAATTTTTTTCACAATATACATTTTCCAAGAATTTTTTGAAATACCTTCAAAGGTTTAATCTTTGGGCATGAGAGAGCAGGCCCAGAGCATGAATATAATATCTAGTGTGTGACAAATTCATGTAAATTAGAACTAAAACATCTCTGTAGGTCATAAATGGTGCTTGTGATGGAGCGTAGAGGTTTGATTCATGATTCAAAGGAATAGGACATTTTTGAAACTGGTTCCTAATGTTGATTGAGAAAATAGGGCAGAGTTGTTTTAGGCCTTGCCCTGGCCCCAGGTGGGTCTTAAGGGTAAATTGATTCTCTGGACTCTAGCCAAATGGGCTAGGGTTCAGGAAGAGGGTGCAAATAATGCAGATAACTCTCATGTCATATAATCTGGGCAAACCTAAGGAGAGCAGGGGAGTTAATGTTCTGGATGAAGGATGGTTAGGGGAAATGAATAACAGAATTTGGGATGGCAGGACAAACCTAGATAATATTCTTACAAGCACCCCTTTATTTAGATTTTTTCATGCACATGGAAAACTTATTTTTCTCCACAATTTCAGTTTATAGAAGTTCTAGTGGTTATTTTCGATCTATACCTAAGTTTCTTCAGTGTGCAATGGTGATATGTTCTGATAATTTCTAAGGTTCCTTCAAATACAGCCTTCTAAAACTTTGAGTACTAGCAAAACATGATGACATAACACAGGAAAGGTTACGGTCACCATCAGTTGTGACTGTTCACAGATTTCTCCCATTCAGCTATTATGCATTATTAGCCATTTTTAGTCTTGCTTTTTAAAACCACGCTGCTTAAGTTTTGTGGGAAAAATATCAGGGACTTGATTCTGCAGAGAAAGCTAAGCAATCAAAAGACCAATGAATCATTAATTGTGTGTGTGTGTGTGTGTGTGAGAGAGAGAGAGAGAGAGAGAGAGAAATTCTCAGTAGCACTGGTGATTTATCCTCTTCTGAACAAAATTCATGAGAGTCGGAAGCAGGTTAGGCAAAGGAAGAGGGATCCAGTTTCAGAGGAAAAGATTTTTGAAAGGGAAAGTGTAGAGATCTTGAACATAAAGGAGGATGGCACCTTCAGCAGAAGGAGACAACTAAGAACCTATCTGTTTTCTTTCCCCAGTGTCTCTGAGGATCATTAAGACCGAGTGGTAAACAGGACCAAAGATGAGACTGCACTTTTCTGCTCCAACTCCAATAATTTTGTACAAGCGGATTCAGTTTAAAGGAAGCAATGAGAACAAAAGGTGGCACAAGAAGAGATGGTGAGTCTGGAAGCTAAGAGGAGACCACTGGGCTGTTAGAGCCTTAAGGTCCCAACTATGTGACATTAATATACCCAAAACCTCATAGAGCACTCAGTCTGTAGAGCAGTGGACACTCCGTGAACGAATGAATGAATGAATGATCTCATGTAAATGGCCTCAGGGAGAAAGAGGAGGAGGGAACTGTTGGCAACAGAGATGCTCTACGTGCCTTATGACTGAGCAAGGTTTTAGGATCTACTGCAAGGACCGTTTATGCCTCAGCCAGCCACACTGTGGATTGTCATCCCTGATCGGCAGTACAGGTGGGAGGAAAGGGTGGAAAGAGAATGGTGCTTGTGGCTTGATGACTGTTACAGTTTTTCATCCCCCTAGTTTTGGCTTTGCTGACTACTTTCCCAAAGCAATCTATCAAGCAAACCAGGCTTTCTAGGAAATTCAATAATGCTAAATATTCAATAATAACTTCAATAGACTATTTCATCAACCTGAGACAAAAGGCCCTCAGAGATTTGGAAATGCCTTCCAGATGGACCCAAATAGTTGTGAGACTTGCTGTAATAAGTGTGCTCGTGGATCTGCCCTGGAAAGTCATCATTTATACTCAAGTATTAGTCACATGAGGCCCTGGTATCGTGCTCCTTTGAGACTTTTTTCCATTTACACCTTCAGTAGATAGGACTTACGCCTAGACTGGGACCCTGGGGTTTTTTCGAATATTCATTATGTGTTTGTAGGTACATATTTGATATTCTCAAGGTTTCTGATTTTTAAACAAGGATAACACTTCCATTATGGATTATTGTGGGAAATAAATGTTCTTAAAATCCTGCCAAGTCATCTCATATCAATTAGAATTCAATCCTAATAAGTGGCCTGAAGATGCTTTTTGTTTTAGCTCCTGTTTATCTCTTTACTATCATCTTCTATTTCTCTCATTTTGCTTACATGGTTCTTGTACCAGGAGCTTTCTTTCCACCTCTCAGATTTCTCTCCCACTTCAGGAATGGAGGGATCATCCTCCTGATATTCCCTGCTTGCTCTCTGTCAGCCTTGCCTCGGCTCATCTGATGCCTTTTTCTCTTCAAAGAATTTTTCTACTCCATCAAATATTTCACACCTGCCCACTCCATTGTAACAGTCAACTGGTCCCAGCTGATCACATTTTACTATTTTATTTTATTTGTAGTAATTATCTTGATTTGAATTTATGTCATTGATTTGTTTGCTTCCTTGTTAATTAGTTGTCTCCATCCAACCAGTAATATAAAAGCTAATAGGGCAAGTTCCTTATATCTTGTGTCTTTGGAAAAATGTTTGGCAGGCACAAAGTAGATGACTACTAAATCCTTGAATTGAAACACTTGAATGAAAGGAATTTTTAATCTATGAAGTATCATATACATGGAAAGTAGCATTTGCTTCCATCAAGGGAGAGGTAAGGCATGAACAGTGATGGATTCAAATTTTACATTTACTGGAGTAGGACAAGCCACTCATTTGCTTCTCTGTACATTAGGCTACTCATTTGTAACATGAGAAAAATGTTGTTTATCTCATGTATTCTTTGGAGGCTGAGTTTTAATAAGGGAAAAATGGTGTATACATTTTAAATTATTCATGTGCTTTTTTATCATTCTCCTACATATGTTACTAAGCTAGGGGAATGAAGAAACTTTACATGTCCTTTATTTCAAAACAGCAAGAGTTTTGGATGACATTGGTGAAACATTTCAGAAGGAGTTTATTTTACCCAAACTGTTCCTCAATTCATCAAAATTCTGTGGCCCATGGTTTCATTTGCATACATATATTTGCATGTTCTAATTAGAACCATTGGCAAGACTCCTTGGGAAGGAATTTAGCCTTTTGCCCTTAAGAAAGAAGTTAATTCTTTAGAAAAACAGCCACCTTATTGTTTATGCTGCACAAGACAGGGTGCAAAGGCATTGATGTTGCTTCCAGAAATTAGACTGAGCATTCAGATTAACATCAATTTACAAATGAAGCATGATATGCTGTTTCCAATAAAGTTCACTGTATTTTATTTGGAGACAACTCTTTGCCTTTTCCAGTTCTGTCTAATGACAACAGAGCAAAAGCTTTCACAAAGGCTGGCTGACAAGGAAGAACAAAAAGGATGAGAGTGCCCCTACTGCCTGTGAGGGAGGGTTTGCTGTGTTTCTCTATGGAGATTTGCACATTCTTCAGAGGCTGCACAAATCTAATCTGAACATTTCAGTGCCATCCTTTTGCAAAATGTATTTTATTAGCAGTAGTTGTACATATTAATGGGAGATAGCAGCTACAAAGTAGGTAGGGATGGGAAAAATTAGATGTATTCCTAGATAGGAAAAATCCTTTGAAAAGGGAAAAGTACTATATAAATGTCCTACATTTAAAATTACGCCCTCCTTCATCTCTGCTAAGAGGAATTATAATGCTGCTTTTCTAGGCAGATGGGTTTGCAACACTCAAGGCCCTGAGTGCTCATGGGGAAGGTAAACACATGGCACAAATGCAGTTTTTATCAGCCCCGAGCCCACAGCCAGCATTCTTAATCAAGAACAACCTGTTTTTCCTACCAAGGTTAGACTCATTCTCACAATCCTTACCATAACTTTGCAACACTCCCTCAAATGTTGGATTTGGCATGGGAGATAAAGCTGACCGTCCATTCCTATTAAGCCTCAAAGATCTGTGACTAAAGACCCACACTCCCTTTTTCCTTGTCAGGCCTTAGGATTCAGGAGATGAGACACAGTGTAGAAACACTATGTCCTTCAGTGACAAAACCACTTCACAGTCAAAAGGCACACACACAGGCAGAGCTTGCTCAAAAATTCATTTGTCACATCTGAGTTAATTTCATAGTGGAAGAAAAGCAAATGTTCAGGGAAATGTTGGCAACGGTACAAGTTATGATAAATGAAATTGCCTGAAGAGGTGTGTAAGAGGATTTTGGAGAGAACAAAGACTCTGGGACTGAGCAGCAAATGTCAAGTTAACTATGTGAAGGGTGGGAGTGTGTATTCCATGTAACTGGATCAATCCCTTAATTACTCTATGGTTTTCTATCAAACAGCATAATTAGAGAGCATTTTGATTCTCAGTTGAATCAATTCTTTCCTTAGGCTTTGGGAAGAGGTGTGTATTAAAGAAAACTCAAATGTTTTTTTTTTTTTTTTTTTGACAGGCAGAGTTAGACAGTGAGAGAAACAGAGAGAAAAGTCTTCCTTTTCCATTGATTCACCCCCCAAGTGGCCGCTACGGTGGGTGCACTGCAGCTGGCGCACTGTGGCCGGCACACTGTGCTGATCCAAAGCCAGGAGCCAGGTGCCTCCTCCTGATCTCCCATGCAGGTGCAGGGCCCAAGGACCTGGGCCATCCTCCACTGCACTCCCTGGCCACAGCAGAGAGCTGGACTGGAAGAGGAGCAACCGGGACAGAATGCAGCGCCCCGACCGGGACTAGAACCTGGGGGTGCCGATGCCACAGGCAGAGGATTAGCCAAGTGAGCTGCGGCACCTGCCAAAAACCCAAATGTTAATACTGTAATGTTTCCTTTCTTACTTCCTGGTGAAACTGTTTAGTTTCATGAGGTGGGTATGTCACAGGTCCTTCCTTGGCCATTCAGAAGGCATATGGCAGTCCAAAATGAACAAAAATTGATCTGCACATATCAGATCTTTTCACTTGCAAATGAAAATCCATATCTTTAATTCAACCTGGTGTCGACTGACCCAATCTATGATATTACCATAAACAAGCACCCATACATTTATAGGAACCTGAAATTGTCTATTAACCATGCTACATGAGGGGATCAGCTCTCAGCTTTCTGTCATAAGGGATATGATAAAAAATTTAGGTACATTTTCTTAATAATAATAGTAAAATGTGTTTTATCTACAGAAACATAGCCAACATTCTAAGAACAAAAGTGGCAAAAATTTCATTTTTTGCTGAGCCTGGAGATTGTTGTTTCTATTTATTTTAAGAGTCTGGAATTAGGATTCAACTCAAGAAATACAGCCTCAAGAGTATTGGAGTCACTTCCTCTTCAAGCTATATTTCAAAATATTGAACTGGATGGAATTCTACCAAACTCTTTTTATGAGGCCAGCATTACTTTGATACCAAAACCAAGTAAAGATATGGCACAAAAAGAAAACTACAGACCTTTATCCTTAGTGAACATAAATGCAAGATCCTCAACAAAATACTAGCAAATTGAATCCAAAACCACATCAAAAAGATTATACATCACGATCAAGTGTGATTTATCCCAGAAATACGAGGGTGGTTCAACATTTGCAAATCAATAAATTTTATAAATCACATCAATAGAATGAAGAATAAAAGCCAGATAGTCATCTCAATAGATGCAGAAAAAGCATTTGATAAAATTCACCACCCCTTCATGATAAAAACCCTTCAGAAATTCCTCAAAAGTATAAAGGCTACATATGACAAAACAACAGCCAAAATCATACTGAATGGGGAAAAACTGAAAGCATTTACCCTCAGATCTGGACCAAGACAAGGATGTCCACTTTCACCACTCTTATTCAATATAGTACGGGAAGTTTTAGTGAGAGCAATTATGGAGGAGAAGGAAGTAAAGGCTTCACAATTGGAAAGAGGAAGTCAAATTATCCATACAGATGGCATAATGTTGTACATGGAAAAATCTAAATATACCACCAAAAAACTGATAGAATTGATAAAGCAGTTCAGTAAAGTTGCAGAATAAAAAATAAACACAAAAAACCAGTAGCCTTTTTATATGCTAATGATGAACTCACAGAAAGAGAAATCAAGAAAGAAATCTCACAATAGCCATAAAAAATCAAATATTTAGGAATAAATGTTACCAAAGAAGTGAAAGATCTCTGTGGTAACTAATAGAGTACCTTTCTAAAAGGTAATATATAGAAGTGAAAATGATGCTTTGAGATGTGATGATTTTGAATAACTTGTCTCGATTGCTGAGGAAC